ATCTATCTATCTATCTATCTATCTATCTATCTATCTATCTATCTATCTATCTATCTATCTATCTATCTATCTATCTATCTATCTATCTATCTATCTATCTATCTATCTATCTATCCACACATCTATCTATCTATCTATCTATCTATCTATCTATCTATCTATCTATCTATCTATCTATCTATCTATCTATCTATCTATCTATCTATCTATCTATCTATCTATCTATCTATCTATCTATCTATCTATCTATCTATCTATCTATCTATCTATCTATCTATCTATCTATCTATCTATCTATCTATCTATCTATCTATCTATCTATCTATCTATCTATCTATCTATCTATCTATCCACACATCTATCTATCTATCTATCTATCTATCTATCTATCTATCTATCTATCTATCTATCTATCTATCTATCTATCTATCTATCTATCTATCTATCTATCTATCTATCTATCTATCTATCTATCTATCTATCTATCTATCTATCTATCTATCTATCTATCTATCTATCTATCTATCTATCTATCTATCTATCTATCTATCTATCTATCTATCTATCTATCTATCTATCTATCTATCTATCTATCTATCTATCTATCTATCTATCTATCTATCTATCTATCTATCTATCTATCTATCTATCTATCTATCTATCTATCTATCTATCTATCTATCTATCTATCTATCTATCTATCTATCTATCTATCTATCTATCTATCTATCTATCTATCTATCTATCTATCTATCTATCTATCTATCTATCTATCTATCTATCTATCTATCTATCTATCTATCTATCTATCTATCTATCTATCTATCTATCTATCTGTCTATCTATGCGACTGTACAGCTTGATAATAAATTTACTGACAAAAGAACTATATAGTGAGTACCATATTTGCTTTTTTAATTTTTTAATAGAACTTATAATTATCACCTAGGAAATTATATACCTAATTGGATATTAATATCATAAGTATTTAACAATATTATCAATTTTATTGCTTAATTTTTATTCATTCAATCATTAATGTTATTTATATAGTTACTTTTCAATTTACTTTATATTTTATGAGTATCATTTTAGTCCATTTAATATTTGACATTTATCATAATTTAAAATGTCCCAAAAATTTATATTTTTTTCTTTACTATTCAATATCATTGAAAATGTGTGTATATTACAATTGGAAGAGTAAATGAGAATAACCACCTTAGGGAAACTGATATGGTTAATGTTAATTCTTATTCATAATCTTATTTAGTATTAAAAGTATAAAAAGGGAAATTGATTGATTTCTCTGCAAAACAAACAAACAAACAAACATTCTAGATTATCTCTTCAAACGTTTCATTTCAGAAGACACATGAAGCTAATTCCCTTTCTGACAACTAGAACAACCATTAATTTAGATACATAGAATGCTTGTACAATGTGAAAGATTGGAAAAAATCTTACGGATTGCTGCAGAAATGAAGAAATACAATCTGAAGGTGCTTGGAATCAGCGAAACACATTCACATTTTTAGTACACTTCGATTGTATTCACAAAATATTAACAGTTAGCATACGATTTTTCCGAATATATCAGTATTAGTATTATTATGAAATATATTTAAATGTTTAACAAATGATAGATGATCTAAATATATTTAAACCTACTTAATTCTAAGTAATCGAGTAATCTATTGTGTTGTAAAGATGTCGGAGTATTATACGATTAAAGTAAGTTACAATGATATCAGTTGTATTAGTATCTTACATATCATTATAATCTTATTTATTTTCTGTATAGAACTACACTTATATAAGTGCCCTGGTATGGCCGAGAATGGGGTGGATCCGCCCTCCCTCTCGAAATGCTCTCACACGGTCACGCGTATACAGCCTCTGCCAGGGAAGTCCTTCTCATTGCCTTCTTGTGGCGTGGGTGTTGTTTACTAAATTGAGAGGACGAAAAGCGAATGCCTGGCGCTTTAACCGGATTCAAAACCAATGGTGCACATGGGCTCTAGTATCCTGGGGGAACAAATGGCGGATGAACCAATCGTTGGTCACCGGCTACCATCGAACCGCATCTCCTCACGATGCTCTACTGCCTTGTGGGTTAGACCTTTAGGTCAAAGGTTCGGGGTGTGGCCCCCCTAAGAAAACCACCTACTTCGGTTTGGGCATCCGGTCAGTATCACAGCCCTCACACATATCGAATGAGGTTTGTGTGGCGCATATGTATTTGGTGCCTCCTTGTACCAATGTTTATGTGTTTAAATAAATATTATAAGTAAATCTTTGCATCAGTTTGAAAATACAGCAAGAATAAATGTACACACACATGCTTGTATATACATGAACAAAAGATCTTTTCAAATATTGTTTCTGTTTAGTAATGTTTCAATGATAATTGACATGGAAATTGAACCTTTCATTATAAACAAAGATGAAAAAAAAATAGGAGAAAGATACTCATTATATTTTGATCATTACCAATTGATTAGTATCTTTATAAGATGCTTATTTCTATTTGTTTGTATGTACCTAGGTGAATGCATGTGCATGAGTGTTTGTTTATTAAATTATTTATTCAGATGATGTAAATACCATTCATAATTTAGACATTCTATATCTTGACATTTGTGTTAATTGAAGGTAATAGTCATACTATTAAAGATAATATGAATGATAATGATGATAGATTCTTCTTCTTATCGTTGTCCAATATTTCAATAGTACAATCATCTATCATTTCCTTTAAAACGAATCATTAATGTAATTTATGTTAATTATCAAATAATTATAGAATAATAATGTACTAATGTTGATTATTTACAATTCTAGACATTGATAACTAACGTAAGTAAATCAGCAAATGTTTGATAATATGTTATATTAGAAACTAATGAAAAATTATAAGCAATGATAGATATTGGCTAACAGCGGAATTCATGACGTGCACGAATCCAGCCTGATTGGAATCCCGGAGTGAACATCAACTCTGGGATTCAGGTACATCTAGCTGACGAGTTCCAAGTAGGAGGAGACGCGGATTCAGGATTCTGCTGCTAGCCACCATCCACCTTTACTTAGAATGCTTGTGAATTAAGGCAATATCGAGGCAATCAGTACACGATCCACATATGCTAATAAGAGACTGATCAGTTTTAGTCCTAAACGTCAGTTGGAAGATTCAAACAAATAATACAAAATGAATTTAATGGCAAACTACGTTTTATTTAACAAAGTTATTTTTTAGGAAGAGCTATACTTGATTATTTTATAGATATTTGAAAAATAACAGTCATTATAAATGTGGTCACAAACCGATCAATGTCAGGTCATCATCCTAGTATGGGACTTCCTAGCAGTGCACATACACGATCTCACACATTGAGCTCGAACTCTGGACCTTTGATCTCGCGCGCGAACACTTAACCTCGAGTTTACTGGTTTGGCATACAACGATATTAATGTCTAACTTTGACCAGTTCATGATATTATGCGATCATCTTATATTTTCGATTGTGATCTAATTTTGATCAGTTCATGATCTCAATAAAAGCTCACAAACTCCACAACCTCTTATAATAAAAAGATCTGTTCAGATCACGTAGCATCTAAATTGAAAGAAATCCTATTTTTGGTCAACAATTTGAGACGATGTTATTTTATTACTGAACTAATCATTAAAAGTTTGTAGACATAGTGTTCATTGACGTAGAATATCTGTAATATTCATAGAACCAATACTGCTCCACAGAAACTAGCCTACACATTTAAGTCAGAATACAAGTTAAGTAATTATGTGGAAGGTAATCTAGTGATTATCATTTTTTATAACTGGAATTATTAAATTTCTAGGGTTACTTTTTGGTAACACCTCTTAAACAACAGATTAGTTTGTTCAACTGCACTTATCTAACACTTGAACTGGCTTTTACTCTATAGAATTAAACATTTTTTTAAATTTTCACACATGGAACCAAACAAAAGTAGGAAAGATGTACGTATATGAAAAGTTCTAACTCCGCTTAGAACCCTTATGTGGCTACTACCTGTCCGAATCTTGCATAAAGTATGATTGTTGAGCATGGAGTAAGAGACCTCATCCAGTAGAAAATTAACTCTCCAAAAGAACACTAAACAGAAAAACGCTGTATCAAATGTAATGTTATACAAATAATTTCAATCTCTACTCAAAAATGACATGTGTTATCAGTAATACCTATCAGTGATATCTAAAAATCATAATGGTTTTTGAATTGAAATCTTGATTCAGTTGAAACTAGACCACCATGGAAAACCTGAAAGCACTGGTTCAGCATTCATGCATGAGACCTACAGGGCTTGGGTTCGAATCTTGCGATGCGGGATTATGGATGCATACTGTTGAAGAGTCCCACAATATGACGAAACGGCCGTCTGGTACTTTTTCAAGCTGTCCATGGTGGTCTAGTTTTATTTGACTCATGATCTCAACTATTAAAAACTACTATAATATTCACAAAATCCCTTCTGATACGAATCAATATATAGCTCATTAGTGACTGCCTTCAAGAGGTATTTCCTCAAGTTGTAGTGAGACGTAGTGATCAGTCGAGTTCAACCGGGTCTGTTGTCAGATAGTAACTCACTGATGACAATAAGTGATGTGTCGCTTGATTTTGTGGATTGTTTGAAGTTAGACAATAACACCATTGGATACCGGTCATCTCAGTGATGTAGTGGTTAAGCGTTTGTGCGCGAGACCTACAGGTCCTGAGTTCGAATCTCGCGATGCAGGATTATGGATGCATACTGCTGAGAAGTGTCACAATATGACGAAATGGCCTTCCAGTACTTTCAAGCTTTCCATGGTAGTCTAGTTTTATTTGACTCATGATCTCAATTATTAAAAACTACTATACTATCCACAAAACCCCTCTCTGATATAATGATTTACATTAATAAAGTTATGAATAAACTACTTACATACTCAATAGTAATATTATTATTAATCAAGTTGTTAAATATTCAGAAGGAGGATTTTTCTCTATTTCATTATCGGTATTTTCATCCATTGACATAATTCTTACTTTACGTTTTTCAATGAAATGATCAGACTTTAATTTTGGTGATAAACTTGTATAATATGAAATAGGATTATTATTACTATTACTATTATTATTAGTAGTAGTAGTTGTAGTAGTCAATTGATTGAATTGTAATGTATTATGTTTTATAGGTTGTATTATAATAGAATCATTGAAATTATGATTTATATTATATGTAGTAGATTTTATAGATGATGGTGTATAACATTTACATGTATTCATTGTTTGTAATGTTGTATAATCATCAATTGGATATAATTCATTCATTGAATTATATGAACTTGTTATAATAGGTAATAATGTAAATTGTTTACAATCATGATAATAAATATTATCTGTATCTATAGTTTTTTGTTTATATGAATCATTCAAATGTGTATTGAATGTATTGAATGATTGTATTGTATTATTATTATTATTATTATTACAATTGATTGGTGAACAAGTATTCTGTGTATTTGGTGAATAGGGATAGGAATGAGAATGGGAATGTGTTGATTGTAACATGCTCATCACTTCATTTTGATCTATTCTCATATTATTACTATTATCATTATTAATATTACAGTTAGTTGGTGAACAAGTATTCTGTGTATTTGGTGAATGAGAATAGGAATGAGAATGTGTTGGTTGTAAGATGCTCATCACTTCAATTTTATCCATTTTCATATTATTATTATTATTATTATTATTATTAGTTAATTGTTTATGATTTGATGTATTCAAACAAAATAATTTAGAACATTGAATTTTATCTGATGTTATAATAGAATGATGTTGTATCGTTGAATTGGATGACCAATGACGTGCAAATATAATTAAACATAATGTAGCTAATAATATTAATAATATTAAACCTAATGAAAGTATTAATATTGTATCATTTGTTAAACGATATGTTAATTGTTTAGATGATGATGAATATAATATAGATGATGGTGATAATGCTGATAATAATAAATTAGAAGAATTATTTAATTTTTTATTAGTAGAATAATAAGTAGTATAATCATCATTTGTTTCAATATATTTTGTATTCATTATCATATTTTCATTATATTGATTTTTTAATAAATAATTAGATTTTAATTGATTTGTATATAATGGTATTGATTCTATTTTAACAATAAATCGAAGTGAAGCTGTACGTGGATTAATTATACTATCATGTACAATAATATAATAAATATAAGTACCTGTATCATTTTGTTGTAAATCTCTATTTAAATATATATTACCTAAACTACGATCAATATCTAAAAATGAATTGATTGGTAATTGATTAATTGGATTTAATGATTTAGGATGATCGATATCGATTTCATTTGATTGACTATTTTTTAATGTATGATTATTATTATTGATTTTTATGTAATCTTCTTGTTCTAACATAAATATAAATGTATTTGATGTAGAATCTTTATCATTTACATTGACTGTCATTAATTGATAATATTTTTTTTCTAAATTTGATAAAATAAATATTTTATCTGATTGTTGTGGAAATATGATTATTGGATCATTATCATTTTCATCTTCAATTGTAACTAATACTGTTGTACTTGTTTTATGATTATCATTATTATTATTGATTGATAATTTATATTGATTATATAATTGATTATTATCATTGATTAAATCATTTGCATAAACATCAAATTCATAAATTGATTTTTCTTCACGATCAAGTATTTTTGTTGTATTTAAATAATATATCATAACATTTGGTTCATATTGATTAATGATCGATGATGATGATGATGATGATGAAGAGATAGTTGATTTCCATAATTGAAATGGTAATTGTTCTTGTTTATGTAATTTCACAATTAATTGATCATAATCCCCATCTAAATCAGTAATAATTAATTGACCAACATTAACACCAATTGGTAAATTTTCTTTAATATTAAATTGATAAAATTTATGTTGAAATAATGGTTTATTATCATTTTCATTAATAATTTTTAATTTTATATTTATAGTTGATTTATGGATTGGTTGACCATGATCATGAATTTCAATAATTAAATCAATAATATTTAATGGTGGATAAGTGAATTCACGATCAATTGGTTTTTGTATGATTAAATTACATGTTATTGGATCAATATGAAAATAATCATGAATATTTAATGATAATAATGAATCATTTATGATTGATAAAAGTTTACATGTTGTACGACTATTCTCACCATAATCAATATCAGTTATATTAAAATAAGCAATAATTGTACCAGTTGGTGTATTCTCTTTTAAATGAATAAGATTATCATTAGAATTTGGTGTTGTATGCAAAGTTTGTGATATAAGTTGTATTGATGGACTATTATCATTTACATCTATAATATGTATAATAATATCCATTTCAGATGTTTTTTTTATTTCACCAGAATCAGTGCATTGAATTTTTATACGTAGAATTGCACCATTTATTTCTCTATCTAAACTATTTACAGTTAACATATTATATTGTACTAGACCAGGTTGACGTTTTACTTCAGTTAATTGAAATGATGTATTGATTGTATCGGTTTTATTATTATTATTATTGTGTATTCTATTTGATTTATTTACTAATGTACAAATGACATGACTATTCAATGCATTAGCATCACGATCAGTAACTAAAATATCCGCTATAAATTGTGGTGGTTCATTATTCTCTTCAATATGTGCAAATGTAGCTGGTCTACCAGTTGTTTCATCTATTCTTAAATAATCTAATTCAATTATAGGTATTTCATCATTAATATCTATTACATTAACAATGATATTTACTGTAGATGTAAAAATATTATTTTGTATACGAGAATTCACTAATTGTAGATTATTATCTAATTTACTACGACGATCATATTCACTATCAATAGCTAATACATCAAATGTATAACTAGTATGTTTTTCATAATCTAATGGTTGTTTTAAATATAATTCACCAGTATGTTCATTTAATTTAAATAATTGTTTTATTATATATTCAGTATTTGTAGCAAATTCATATTTTGTTAATGAATACTTCGCACTATCTAAATCTTTTGTAATTAATTTTAAGATAGGTGATTTAATCCAGCTTGATTCAATCACTTCAACTTTATAACATAATATATTTGTTGATTGTATTGATGTTAATGATGATATTACTGAAATAGGTATATTATCAGTAGATGATTCCATTTGTGTAATATTATTAGTTTGTGGTTGAAATATTGGTCCATTATCATTAATATCTTCAATAGTTAAATATATTTTTAAAATATTACGATTATCATTTATGGATGATGAAATGATTGTATTTGTTATAGATGATGAATCATATGCTTTCACTTCAAGTATATAATGATCACATAATTCACGATCAAGTATTGTTTTAACTTCTAAATATAATCCAGTTATTTCTTGTATTATATTTGTATTATATAGAATATCTTTTGTTTCTATATATAATGTAAAATCATTTATAGTGATAGGATATAATTCATAACGTTGTATACTAAATTCTGGTGAATCTGGATCATATGCTAATGGTAATTGTATACGTGTACCAATTGGAACTGATTCTGGTATTGATAAATTAATCATTGAATGTGGTTGAAATGTAGGAATATGATCATTACGATCAATAATTATAATATGTATATCAATAAATTCTGGTAAATAAGGATAATTCGATTCTATTGTATGTTCATTTTTTAATTGTTGAGTTATAAATCTACGATGTAATGCTATTTGAAATGTAAATTTACATTGATCTATAATTTTTGAATTTGATGATAATATTGATCTATATTGATAATTAATTTGAGAATAATCAATATTTAAATTAGTTTGTATATTATTTAAATTTTTATTGATTTGATATTGTTTTAAACATAATACTTCACGATCAATAATAGTACGTGTATATAAATCACCAGTATTTTCATCTAAACGAAAATAAATAGCTGGTGGACGATTACCACGTACAATGACAGCTTTGAAATGATCCGTTTTAAAATTGATAGGTTGATTATTATTATTATTATTATTATTAATGAAATGTGTAATACGACCTATTCGTTGACCTTCATTTGTATCATCATTTACATAAAATACATTCGGTTCATGAATAGGAATAGATTTAATGATATAAATATTTAATAATAATGAAATAGAAATGAAGAATTTTAGTATGAAATCAACTTGCATTTTAAGTGTTCATTATATATAACTGCATAAGTTACCAGTTGAAAGAAGAGGATAGAATAATTCCTCGAATGTACTGTAATCTAAAATGAATAGAATGTATACTAGGAGGTTTACTTATGTATAAGATAGTAATAATATCACTAAGCTATAATAAATTATTTTTGATTGAAATCGTCAGTCAATTGAAGCTAGATCACCATGGAAAAACTGGAAGCACTGGACAGCCGTTTTGTCCTAGTATGGGACTCCTCAGGACCTATCAGTCTCGAGCCAGGCGCTTAACCAACTAGACCAATGAGCTGGCCGGCATCCAATGGTGTTAATGTCTAACCTCAACCAATCCACGAATGTGAGTCCTATCCACTTTTGTCAATTCTTCCTAATTTCGTCTTCCACTGGAATCTGGTTTGTTCTCTCCATATGAAATGTTTACTTTCGAAATTCGAAAATCTATTTTCTTTTGTTGTTGATTGAAACAGATAAGTTGCATTATTAATTTCTATTTGGTAAATGTATTTTAAAGTGTAAAGTACACTAAATGGTTGTGTTTTATACGATGAAAATATTGTTTGACATATTTGTTAGATATTATTAAGGTAGTATCTTTGAATAAATATATCTTTTATATGCTTTTAACAAAGGTAGGTTATTTTATAATTTACAATAAGACTCTTTTCTTATGACATTTAACTAATGATCAGTATTTTGAATGTCGATATTTCTGTGTCCGTTTTTTTGTCATTCTGATTAGACTAATCAATTTTCAACAAACTCTCTTGTTATCTATAGAATTTATAGTTACTTACGCCTGTTACTCTCAATGCAGCATAGACCGCCGACCAGCGTTCTCCGAACCAATCTATCCTGGACCTTCCTTCCCAGTTCGATCCCACTTTTTTCGTTTTTCTCATGTCTGTCTCCATTTTTCGGCATAACGTGTTCTTTGGTCTTCCTGTTTTCCTTTGGCTTTCAGGATTCCATGTGAGAGCTTGTCTTGTGACACAGTTGGGTGCTTTCCTTAGTGTGTTTCCTATCCACTTCCAGCGCTTCTTCCTGATTTTCTCTTCCACTGGAATCTGCTTTGTTCTCTACCACAGTACGTTGTTGCTGATAGTGTCTGGTCAATGGATCCGAAGTATTTTGCGTAGACAACTGTTAATAAACACTTGTATCTTCTGGATGATGGCTTTCGTAGTTCTCCAGGTTTCTACCCCATACAGTAGTACTGTTTTGACATTTGTATTGAAAATTCTGACCTTGGTGTCGGTTGACGGATGTTTTGAGTTCCAGAACAACTGTCAACAAACTTTATAGACGTTTCCATGATTCAAATAGTTATATGTAACCATACAGAAAATTTGAGACTTCCTTTACTAAAGCAATCTTGAAGTAAAACATTTCCCTTATTACTTACTACCTTTTTATTCATTTAAAATTACAGTTTATCGAGTGACGTAATTCTTGTGGTTGATTAAGGAGTTAATAAATCCAGCTTTCTGTGCTATCAACTTGTAAAATCATTTATTGTACTAATCATGGAGCAGAATGTCACTTCGTATTATTTTTGTTTCGGAAACATATCTATAGGCTTTATGTTTCAGTGTTTCTCCATTTCTACTTGTCCCTCAGTCCTTCAGTACTCGTCAATCACTAATTTTTAAGCACGATTCTTCACCTTTTCCAATGAATAAATTAATAAAATTCAAATAATTAACACAATTTATATCCCAGCATTTATACTTTGTTTGTTTAAGGTAAGCTATATTCAGTAGTGATCTTCTTTGATTAAAACGTTTCTCAAGATATAAGATAAACTAGTTATATGTTGAAAGCTTTTATCAATGAAACCCTTCGGTTGACATATATTTAATCTGATTGCTGTTATTTTACGTGTATTTTAGAATGTATTTTAACAAACAGTCACTGTAAATAAGGAGACTATTTTAATCACTTATCAAAAGTGAATTAAACACTCGTAATTTAATATTTTGAGTTCATGTATGAAGAATGAGGATATTTCTTAACAATAGTAAGTAGGATTAGTGAAAGTGCTTAGCGTTACTTTCATTCTGAGCTCTTTTTATTGATTCGTAAGCATAGCGAGACTATAATTTACGGACAAACCAAACACATACAAGATAACTGGTCTTAAATTTCAGCGCGAAATTCGTTATCCATTTGACTAAAAAGCGTCTTTACATTTTAGATGATCTCAGTACATGATGGAAACCCTAAATCTAATCCATACCCCTAATTGTCAACTATAAATCACAATCTTTATCTTTCTCACTGATTTTAAACTTAGACTTAGTGAGGATATGGACATTTTCAAGGCCAGTTAAGCGTTGCTCGAAGGTCATCCATAAATTATAGTCTCACCGTAAGCATTGTGAATGTTAAAATTGTACTATATTTTACTAAACACTTCTAACTAACCTAGTTCAAAATCCGAATCCAGTTTGGTTTGCACCTCTTACACTTTGCTTCTCTACTGTACTATAATAACGTTTGAATTATCATGATATAATATTTTTGGAAAACGTTCTGAATATTGAATATTATTACTAATATTTTATATATGTTATGTCATATATTATATTATATCAGGTAATTAATGGTACTAATCAGTCTGAACTCTGAGTTTTCTATCATGAAATTATCGTAAAATAACTACATTTGTCATTTAGTACTGCACGCCATTACATCGTTCATATTTTGGTTTTGTTTACAATCCACACACTGAGTTAAAACATATCAGACAATGTGAACCACATAGTATTTAGATCTGTTCATTGTATATCTCTAATTATATAACTAAAATGTCAACCCAACCACGTCTCGCTTCACTACAGGTGTAGTTTGTCTATGTTGCCAAATTAGGCAAATTAAAACCTAGGAGCACTTGAAGGTTGTCTCGTCCTAGTATAGGATTCCTCAGCAGTGCGTACCCACAATTCTGCACGCGGAATGCGAGCCCAGGATCTTTGATCTCGCGGACCAACACTTAACCTCTAGACCTCTGAGCCGGTCAGCATCCAATGGTGTTAATAACTAACATCAATCGATCCATGATCTTGCTCAACCATTCATCGATTGTGTGAGGTAGATAACTGTCTCACACCAGAAGGACTTGGACTCCACTGGTCACAGCTTTTTATTAGGACTACAGGAGTCACATCGTGAAGCTAGTCACCAGTGAGCACATATATTATCAGATTAGGTATTTTGTGGGGAGTGTGGTAATTTTAACAGGGATCTGGCTTAGATCGACTCATGAATTCAACTGTTAATATTATTCTGTTTTAATAATTTATTCAAAACATGTTTATTTACCTTGCTCATCTATGTTGATACAAGACAAATGGATAAGTAAATGTTTGATCAATTGATGACATGTGTATTCAACTTTCCATCTGTTTGGAAGGATAAACTGTCAATGTAAGTTTTAACAAACGTTTAATCTACCAAATGTAGCTTCATATCAGTTAAAACTTGAATAGTTGTCTGGGAGTTATCACAACAATACAATAACATGTGTGCATTTGATCTATTCAGCTTTAGTTGTGTTTTGTTTTACTCATTTCAGTGGCTAGAATTTTCGTTCAATTTATTTTTAATATTTAGTAGATTGATAAAAATTGAGTGATAGTTGTGCATCTATCTAACCATCCAGTTCAAAACTCATAGAATCAACAATGTATTCGGTTTTTTTAGTTGCAAAGTTTAGAAAACTTACCAAGAGATTGGTATTTCTTAATTTGAAAGGGGGTTTTGTGGAGATTTTACTAATTTAATGATTGAGACCGAAGGTCCTTAGTTTGAATCCCACGAGCGGAATCATGAATACGCACTGCTGAGGAGTCCCATCCTAGCACGAAACGGCCGTTTAGTACTTCTAGGTTTTCCATGGTGGTCTAGCATTATTTGACTCACGAACTCAGCTGTTCCCTAATCTATATTTTTATATGTCTAATGATATTTCAGAAAACTTTTAACTTAATGAATCAATCAGTGAAGTGTATTGATTTAGATATGAGTTATGCTAATTTGTCTGTTGCCTGCGAAATTCTCTTCTGTCAGTAATGCAATTGAACAAACGTTTTAATGTTATATTTTTCAATGTAACGGAGAATATAAAATTCATACCGCTGTTTATAGTAACTCTTATTTTAAAGTTATATACTTTCATTAGTCTTACAATTGGTTTAGCAAGTAAAAAAGTGGAGAATTAGTAGCATGAGAAACTCCGACTTCACATCAAGCAGAACACATGAATTTCAGTCCTATAAATGGATAACACATATTCAAAACGTCATGTCCATCTATTTTTATTAGTTATCTAAAGTTACCTTTTGCTCCTAGACAGCTGGTAATCCTGGATTTTATTCCATGTGGTACACAACATTGAATCTCAAACACAGAATAGCTAACTGTCATAAATTTTGGTTCCGAAAGTAATAATTAAAATACATATATCAGTGAACTACTACGCCTATATTTATCATTCCATTTTACCACTTGGTTCACTAAAAAATACTCAATTATTATATACAACTAGTGTTCATTAATCATCTAGTGCATGAATATTCGAACATATTTTAAAACAATACATTTAATTCTATAAATTAACAACAGCCAAACAGGACCAAAAACGTCCAGTTGTCCGGAATCATTTGGTCATTTAGATATTAAAATTGTTGGTAAGACTATAATTTATGGACGACTTTTGAGCGACACAAAATATGCCTTGAGAATATCCACCCACTAACTAGGACTAAATGAAGGTTATAAACTAGAGTGGTAAATAAGAACTATGATTTATAGTTGATGGTTAGGTTTAGAAATTAGATCTAAGATTTTTATCACGAAGTGACATCAACTTAAATCCCAAAGCTGTATTTAGCCTAATGACTGAATGAATTTCGCTATAAAATCCAAAATCATGTATCTTATATCTGATTAGTTTGTCCGTAAATTATAATCTCGCCAAATTGTCTTTGAGTTACCAAATATTTAAACCATCTTATCGTGAAACAAGTAGTCATTATACCAATGTTATCCAATTAAACAGACAAAGAAA